TGGTGGGCGTGTCTGACTCTTGAGTCTCCATCGATTGAGCCGAGAGTGCGGCTGTCGCGTCTTGTGTGTTCTTGTCGTTGTATTGGTTCGCAGTCCTATCTGGGCTGGGTACGTCGTCAAGTTGCGCCTGAGATGATTGTAAGTATGCAGCGAAGAACTACTCCAGCCTGTCCTTAATTTGGAAGCACGTTCGGGAAAACTCCTAGTTCTGCGTGACTAGGTCTTTCAGTGGTGTGCCCTCAAGTTGAACCTTGGCGTTTTTTTATGGCTTGAGGTACGTTTGTTTGATTTGTTTCATCTTGGGAGACATGAGTACTTACCACTTCCGTGGTAGATTTAGGCCTAGCGGTTTTGGTGCTGGATTTCATGCTTGTGGTGTATGGAGCCCCCAAAGCGGGGTGCCCCCTGTTTCTTGTTGTCCACGTTTCGGTGCGTGGTTCTTGGTTAGAGTGCTTCCACTAAAAATTAGCGGGAGAGAAAAATGTCTTTCTTCAGCCGACTCACTTCGTCGTTTTTTTGTTTTTTTCATTTAAAATAGAGCGTTTAAAGCGCCTTTCCACACTACCTCCTGTTTTATGTTTTTGCTGTTGAAGAGTTTTGCTGCAGAAGCCACAACGTACAGCGCGTATTCTCCGCTCGCATGCGCTCCTTGGTGCTTGGATAATTTAGCAAAAAGGTATTCGCGACTCCAGCGACCTACTCGCTTTTTCTCGCCTGAGTTGAAACTTGGTGGCGTCAGTGTGCAAATAGCCCCCAACCACAACCGGTTCTCAACTAGACGGCAGGTTTCCCAGTATTTGCGAAATCAAATCTACAGTCGCCCAATTTTTTAATAATATCACGCGAGCGTCGACCGCTGGGACGGACAGTGCCGTGCGAAAAGAAATGCGGCGTCACGGGAGAGATTAAGCGCGTGCGCAAAATGCCCTTTCCGGGGAGCGTCGTCTGCTAGGCTGTTCCGCTGATCGCACACAGCCCCTGCTCCGTAGCAAAGGAGCGCGTTGTGCCGATTTACCGCAGCCGACACTACGAGCCATCTTGGCTATAGTCCATCGCTAAGAGTGTGTCACGCGGCCTTCCTGTTCGGCACAACTGCACGTGGAAGCACGATGTCACGTGTCAAGGTGACAGCGCTGGATTGGTTTTGATGGCTCGTAGCATTGGCTACGGTGTATAGTTTAATGCATCGTTGCATTCAGCTTGTCGCGTCATCGTATTTTTTTTTTTTGGTGCTGACAAAGTAAACGCCAACAAAAAAGTGAAAGCCGTTTACAACTGCCTGTAACGCCGAATGGGAGCGCAGCTCCTGAGGAGGAGAAGGGAAGGGTACTGAGGGAAGAATAGACTCCTCCTCCTCCTCCTTCTCCTCCCCCTCCCCTCATTCTTTAATATGCTCAGAGGGGTCACCTGACCTCGGGGGAAGGGGGTCACGTGACCTCGGGAGAGGGGGGGGGGGCTGTCGCGTGACTTCAAAGGGGGGAGGGGGGGGGTCACGTGACCTCGAGGGGTCATGTGACCTTGGGGGGGGGGGGTCACATGACCTTGGGGGGTCACGTGACCTTGAGGTGACCTTGGGAGGGGTCACGTGACCCCCTAAAATCACGTGACTTCCCGGGTCACGTGACTCCCAGGTTGCATACAACTCCGGTTGCATGCAACTTGAGTTGCATGCAACGCGTGGTTACGCCGACGCCGACGGCGACGGCGACGCCGCTCAAGCTGGAAACGGGCGCCTAAAAACTGCGCTCTAAAAAAAAATTAAAAAAAAACACAAAATAAACGAGATGACGCACGGTTTTTTTCACGCCTGAGCAGTATCACGGTATCACGCAAGCAAGCGCTTCTCAGATCTTTGCTTAAAGGCGGTCAGCTATGCCAGCAGATAAGGAACAGGGGCCTTGTGCGGTCAACAGAATAGCCTAGCAGACGACGCTCGCACCGGAAAGAGCTTTGTGCGCACGCGCCTAATCTCTCTCGTGACGCCGCATTTCTCCGCGGCACAGCGCTGGCTGTCCCGGCGGTCGACGCTCGCGTGATATTTTTAAAAAATTGGGCGACTGTACATGTTATCTTCTGGAAATGGCCTCTTATAGCACTGTCAGATTGAATTCACTCATATGATAAAAAAATCTTAAGTAAAGAATTAAAAAAAATATATGTGAACCGACAGTGTGCCGGGGCTATCTAATAGATGGCGCCACTGAGTTTGTTGCCAAAAGAAATGGCGAATTGTGCATGATTGCTTAGCGCTTTCTGACGACGAGCGTCCGCAGTTCTTTTGCAACGTGCATTTCGCACCATCAAGATTGCCGGTCTTAGCAATCTATTACGTAAGCTTGTTCTGAACATGCGCTCTAGCCATCGCCCTCAAATATGGCGTCCAGTGAATACCCCCTATAAGTGTCGCCAGAATTGGTCAAATATGGCGCTCTTAAACAGGCCTTGCCGTGCCATGTGCCAGCTCAGTGCACAACGCTCGGGTTTCAACAGGCAAGCATTGGACTCGGAAAGGTTTACCCCAACTCTTATTCACTCCTTTTAAAACGTCCGGCGATGTGTTAGAGTAAGCGGGCTTTCAGAGGCTTGACCTTTTTTGGGGAAGCGATGGAAGGACTGCGTACCGACCTTCTACGGTGCTGATGAAAGTTGATAAACGCACAATGTCTAGTTCACGTGGTTGCGAAGGCTGAGTTCGAAGCGACCTGGGCAACACGCTGATACGACAGTAAGCACCGAGTCACCGGGAAAACAGTTCCATCGCGCCAACCGCCGACAACATGTAATCATGGATGCCACAAGAGACGAGAAGATATGAAATGACATGTTCCGATAAGTTCATTGTTTTCCCTCTAAGTGCCTTCTATTTATTTGGAGTAGCAAATTTTGATTTGTTGATGTTGATTTACACGAGAGTCGTACTAAAAAGCCACTAAAGGCGAGGAATAGTTTCTGGGAACACTTCAAACTATTACTGTGGTTGTAGTACAACGATGATGTAAAAAAGTTAGGTTTCACGGCGTAATAAAAAAAAAAAAAAAAAGGTGACATTGTAAGGCACTTTGCATAAGAAGACATAGCAGTACGATGTTGCGCTGAAATTTTTGGGAGGGAATACCGAGTGAAGATTTGGGTGCTGAAACGCTGGCAGAGTACCGGTATCACGAAGTTATAAAACGAACCTTTTTTTTTAGCTGCTTCCATGGGATTGGTTAGGTGTGCCTTTCATGGGTTATCAGTGGAAGATGGAAATTAAAGTTGGGGACATACGTATGTTTCATGTCTCAGCTTTTGTATGCAGGAAGGAGCTGTGCCGAAATCTCGTTTAATGTATTCGAGTTATCGTGATGCATTAGCAGTTATTGATCATATCACCACGTAGCGTCCAAGGCAGGCTTGATGATAGATTAACTCCAGGGCACTTGTAAGAGAAAGCAGGTGTCACTTTGATGTTGTTTGATGTTGTAAGAGTATGATGAGCGATTGAGTTGGTCGGGTGAACGATGTTACTTTGATTTTGTAATTATTTAATGCCCTTTGGCACGTTTTTCGATGCAATTAGTTTGAGTTGAATTTTGCAATTTAGTTTTGTCTTGGGGGTCTAAAATTGCGCGGAACAAAACGCATTGGCAGGATAGAATCCCGATGAATGATGTAATGTCGAGTAGCAAGCATTACTGCAGGGTAAAACCCATAGAGGTGAGACTAGCACATTGAGATATTCCGGGGAAAATCTTGAACAATGAAGAATTGATACTGTTGGCAACTGTGTACTGAACGAGTGAGGTAAGGTATAAGTATAGTTTTGGACATAGTCAATTACGAGGAACAAATACCTTCGAAAATTGAGGAATATAATGTTAGTCTGAAGGTTGCTTTTCATATTGGTGCACACCTCAGAACAGATTGTGTGTCTGGCTCTTTCTGTCAGGTCCCGTGAAAATGTTTACCTACCTCGTAAAAGCGATTAATGTTTATAGTCGTTTGCAAAATGGCGTCCCGAGTGGTGCCCGACACGTGCAAGCACGTGCACCGTGCACGTGAACCTAGCTTAGGCCGACTTGAAGTTGCAAGTGCTTGCTCACACTAGCGGGAAATGGCGGCAGCCGAATATCTTGTTTACAATCGTCTATGTGTGTTCATAATGCCCAATGTTTTAAGCATATGTTCGCGCAAAACGCACAGGGGCCCAAAGCGAAGAATTAAAAAGGAGCTTCCTGGAAGCGACAAACTGGTTTCATTGGAGACATAACCTCTCCAAGGATAAGTCTCTTAGAGAAACGTCAGCTGCCGCTTTAAGGCTTCCAGGAAGCTCCCTTTCAAGTTCATAATCGTACACAAAGAAATAGCATATAGAGGTGCAACAATACAGAAAGAAATGCTCGAATGTCTTTCTATGTTTCACCAGCCGGTGATCAGCATTTTTGTCCACCCTCCGGGATAAAACTTACGCGTTGCAGATTCTAGAAGACTTCCAGAGCCAGGAGGATTGCATCAATTCGCGGTTTGGGGACATTCACCTAATGCCGATTTGAGTTCACTCTTCACGGCGCATGTTCAAAACGAGCTCACACTTTTAGGTTGCTAAGGCCGGCAGTGTTGATGGTGTGGAATGCACGCTGCAAAAAAGTAGCAAAAAACGTTCTAGGAGCTCTCCGTCAGCTGCTCGCTCTCAGCAGCGAGGAACCTGCAGCCGCCAGTGAATACAGTCCGTGACTGCTGCATAACTGATGAAGTCGCAACGGTGGCATTTTTCTGAAGGGCACTCATTCTCCTGCTAATCCTCAACTCCGGCTTTGACTCAGCCAGACATTAGAAGAAAACACGCAAGAACCTAAATGCACCTGAGTGTTTCTTGCGGCTCTGGATACGCAGGGAATTCACAACGAAGCATTTTACCCCGAACTAAGAAACGAGCGGAAACGCACGCCTGAATTTGCGAATATTTCTTACTTAGTTTGTGCACGTTCCTACGTCTGTTGGGAACGATCATAAATACGCACCCTTAGGGTTGGTCGGTTCAGAGTCCAGTGTGCGCGTCTTGCAGCGTAGGGCCTCTCCGCTTCCGTCGATCCAGACGTAGGTGCACTGGATACGGTCCTTGGGCTGAGGGAGTCCCAGGTAGTATGAGAGTGTCGCCCTGTCCGTTCCGCTAAGGGCAGGCATGGCTGGTGGCAGCAACTGCAGTTAACGAAAAGTCGTAGCTGCCATAACGAGCATCCAAAGCCTCCCGAATAATAGCGACATTGCCATAACGAGACTCCTTTACCTGGACCAGATGAATTTCGGCTGGTTTGGCCCAGGGCTGCACAGCTATTGCTGCGCCCACCCAGGCAACCTCATAGGTTGGCACCGACTCAATCAACGGACGCTTCTGCCATCAGCCCATTACCACATGGGCGCATCTTCTTTTTTCTTGTTCGCCACTTGGGCAATAACTCGAGCATAAAATCACCTACATCCAATTTACCGTTTATCAGGTCGGCAATGAGTTCGAAGTCGATCTTTTGGGAGAACGTCATCCGAATTCTTTTTTAAAGAACTTGACATTTACGTGAGAAACCGCGAGCCTGGGCGACGTTCGTTTAAGGTAAATATCTAACGCGTTACCTCAAAAGGTATTGCAGCGAGCCTGTAGTCAGAAGAAATAAAATAAATGTCCACACTAGGTCGATTATACTATTGTACTCGTACAATTTGTTACACTGCGCAAAATCAAGCAAGTAATTCTAGGCTGTTATCCCCACAGCCAAAGCATTCCAGTGAACGCGTGCCATTCCATTGTCCATAAACACAAAAACAATAAAGCCCCGCAGGTACGAGCTTCTCCGCAAAAAAACATACAAAACAAAAACATATTGGGTTGTGTGAATGTTTATACAGCCTAGAACTTGGTTTGCCTCAACGAGCGACGAGTCTCCCAACTGTAGATGAAAAATTTAGCCAGTGCAGTACAACGGCTAGCCTGAAGACTTTAACGTGCATCATGCAGTAGTGATACACGACCGCACGCCGGTACGACGTTCATCCAGATCGAAACGGGCAGGGGTAGGGATTAAACCCAGGATCCTGGCTTCTGCAGCGCGAGCTTTCGCTCCACGTGCTCCGAGCTGGTGTGTGCCTGGTGTGTGCTAGGCCTCTCGGCCACCGATCCCTTTTTTTTATTTTTTTACAGATGTTTATTTACAGCTTAAAAACATAAGTAGCTAGAATGAAAAAAATGAGGTATATAACTATGTTAAAGAAAAAAAAAAGAACGATACATAATTTAGACATTGCATTCAATGATCAGGTGCAAAGTAAATATTTTAAAGGTTACAACCTTGCTAAAGAGTGTAATAGCCTCAGATATGGATGTGTATTGCATTCGAAGTTCTTAAAAATATTTTTAAGTGAGGCACGTGCGAAGGCAACGGATAGTCTTCTTGAAGCATAAAAATTTAGTGCTACCTTTCCCCAGTGTGTTTCTCAGATCTTTTTCTATTTCACCTGGTTCTAAAGTTCTAATAGTCGAGTCCAATTTGTTAGGAAAGTGTCGCCACGCAGGTTTGGGAGACTATCCGTCGAAGGCGACGGATAGTCTTCTTGAAGCATAAAAATTTAGTGCTACCTTTCCCCAGTGTGTTTCTCAGATCTTTTTCTATTTCACCTGGTTCTAAAGTTCTAATAGTCGAGTCCAATTTGTTAGGAAAGTGTCGCCACGCAGGTTTGGGAGACTATCCGTCGAAGGCAACGGATAGTCTTCTTGAAGCATAAAAATTTAGTGCTACCTTTCCCCAGTGTGTTTCTCAGATCTTTTTCTATTTCACCTGGTTCTAAAGTTCTAATAGTCGAGTCCAATTTGTTAGGAAAGTGTCGCCACGCAGGTTTGGGAGACTATCCGTCGAAGGCGACGGATAGTCTTCTTGAAGCATAAAAATTTAGTGCTGCCTCCTGACCTTTCCCCAGTGTGTTTCTCAAATCTTTCTCTATTTCAACTGGTTCTAAAGTTTGGGGAGACGAGAAAACGAACACCAGTTCCCGCGGTGTTCAAGCTCCGACTGCCCTGCGTGCCTGCTCGCCCCCCGGTCGTCGGTCCTCTTTATTCTCGTCTTTTTCCGTTCCCCACGCATTCCCCCCCCCCTTCGGGGGAAGGGAGCGTTTGGTTTTGACGGTAGCGATGGCCGCCTGCAGGAAGCGGTCGCCCTCCTTGAAGAGGAAGTGGTCGTCGATGAGCTGCTGCTGCGTCTTCTTGCCCATGGCAGCCAGTGGGTAGTAGGTGACCTACAGCTCACCCTCCAGCATACGCAGAGTCGAGCTCACTTTCTCCTCCATCTCGCTGTATTGGGCCTCCGTCAGGCACGGGTTGAAAGGGTAGCCCTGCAACGAACGTCCGCAGCGCACGCCGGTGAAAATGACGAACTGGTCGTGGGGGGTCCACGTTGACCGAGGTGCTGAGGTCTCCGAAGTGCGTGAGCGGGTGCTTGTCGGTCGCCTTGAAGCCGCCGTGGTAGTCCTCGATCACCGGGTTGAACAGGCCGGCGAATAGCGTGTACGACTCGGCATCCGGGGCGCACAAGCAGACGTCGCTGTCGAGGTTCTCCACGCCGGACTGTATGATGTCGACCAAGGAGGCTCCCATGGCGGTTTTGCGAGTCTTGAGCTTTTCGAAGATGAACGGAGGACCGTGCGATGGTACTGGGACTCCGAACGGTATCTGACGTGCGGTCCAAAGGACTTTTGAAAGGGCGCGAATCGGAGAGCTTGGGGTGGCGCGACGGCTGGCGGGAAGGACGGTGGAAGCAGACTCTGGCTTTTGGCACTCTGAGCTTCGACTGCAAAGTGTTGACTCTCGACGCCTGCGCTGGAACGGGAGACGTTCACTGTGGTCCCGGTGTTCTATACCGCGTTCGGGGCCGTTGGCTTGCTGAATGAGGCAGGAGGGAGGGGGCAAGGAGGCGGATTAAAACTCGTCAATGATGACGTCTTCGTGTGCGTGTGCTGCCTGGTTAGGCGCCCTAAGCCTCTCGGGGCACGATCTCGACAAGACGCAGAGCGCCGCCTCGACATCGGAAGATGTTAGCGGCCGAGTTGCTGCCGATGCGTTGTTCTCTTGTCGTTGGCGACACTCGGTGTGGAGGGCCCCGTGTAGATGACTCTCCCCCGCTATCATGGGCACGTGGCACAGGGCGCATAACCCGGCACGCTCTTCGTCGGTGTAAGTCGATGGTGTGTCCCCTGCGCACCGCTTATTCAGGGTGCGTCCCTGAGACTCTTAATCTCAGGGTCGTGGGTTCGGGCCCCACGTTGGGCGCCACATGTGGTGACGAGAAAACGAACACCAGTTCTCGCGGTGTTCAAGCTCCGACTGCCCCGCGTGCCCGCTCGCCCCCCGGTCGTCGGTCCTCTTTATTCTCGTCTTTTTCCGTTCCCCACAAGTTCTAATAGTCAAGTCAAATTTGTTAGGAAAGTGTCGCCACGCAGGTTTGGGGTTCAGTGTGCACTCTTTCATGACTACTCTTGATCCGCCGCGCATCTAGGCTTAAAACGGGTTTTTAAGTTTCGGTTTGTTATCGGAGCGCTTCTCGGCCCCGGCGGCACCGCGCCCCGTGGAGAGATAGCGCAACCAGCCTCTGCTGCGTTGCGGGATGACAACGCAGCAGAGGTTAGTTGCACTATCTTTCCACGGGGCGCGGTGCCGTCGGGGCCGAGATGCGCTCTGATAGCAAACCGAAACTTAAAAACCCGTCGATTTTGTGCGGTTTTTCAGAAAGCCGTAAAATGCTTCGCGTGCCTTCTATCGTTCTGCAATTTGTTGATTTAGTGTTTTTCGACAATGCTGAGCAATTGTCGAAAAACAATTGCTCAGCATTGTCGAATTTTTTTTGTTTTCTAATTGAATCCATCAACTTAAACACAATATTAAAAAAAGTGAATTACGCAAAAATATTTAAGAACTTTATTATCCCTGACTTTAATACATTTCCTAAATGGGCCCCTGGCCCAGGACTAAAACGACACAAGACATTTTTCGTTGCGATGAGTAGTTTTCGCAGGAGCGATTTGGCCTTAGTTCTCTGAAACACCCTGTATATATATATATATATATATATATATATATATATATATATATATATATATATATATATATATATATATATGTATATATATATATATATATATATATATATATATATATATATATATATATATATATATATATATATATATATATATATATATATATATATATATATATATAACGGGCATGGTGGCGGGAGGCCGAAGGCGTGGGTATAAAACTGAGAAGAAAAAAACCCTTAGTGAAAAACAGCAACAACGGACGATTTAATCTTCGACGTTTCGGCCGGAGTCCGGCCTTCGTCAGGAAGCCGAAGGCCGGATTCCGGCCTTCGTCTTCTGATGAAGCCACGCGCTCGATGAAGCCACGCGCTTCATCCGGCCGGACTTCTTCCTGACGAAGGCCGGACTCCGGCCGAAACGTCGAAGATTAAATCGGCCGTTGTTGCTGTTTTTCACTAAGGGTTTTTTTCTTCTCAGTTTTATATATATATATATATATATATATATAGGTGAGGCAGAGTAGTTTGAGAACAATGGACCGGGAAATAGTAATAAGTCAGAGGTCCGTACTTGCGGAGTTGCTATGCTAGGAGTTTATTGTATGAATTACGACAGTTTCGGCCAAGGCTCGGCTTCGTCAGGATTTGGCATACATCCTGACGAAGCCGACCTCTCGGTCGAAACTGTCGTAATTTATACAATAATCTCCTAGTATAGCAACTACGCAAGTACGGTTCTCTGATATATATATATATATATATATATATATATATATATATATATATATATATATATAAATAATAGTGGTATTCTTGCTCACCGCTTGTCCAGAGAAAGGAATTATAGTTGTTACATCTGGAAGCTCCAGTCTAAGTTCTGCCGGTTGAAGGAAACAGGACAGCAGGAACAAGGCGAGAAAACGAGACAGTGCCAGAGTCAACACTTTGACGAAGCACGACATACTCTCGATGCCATCCTACTTGCTCTCGGCTCTGTCAAAGAGTGCTCGGCGTTTTCGATTTCCTCATCATTAGTCTTGAGCGTGTTTCCCCGAGATGGCTCAGCAGAACAGCGAGCGCACGTCCCTCGGGGCAAATGGGATGCTTTCCTGCATGACTGGTATGAAGTTCTTGGTCTTGCACGAAATATTTAGTGAGTGCTGTAGGCGAGAGATACAGAGCTACCACGAGCAAGCCGTTGCCGACCTTGGCGGAACACAATTTACAAACTTGGTCTGACGTGCCACAGAGATCGATGGGTCCAGGACAGACCCTTACCCATTTGGATAACAAGTACACCACGTTTTCATACGTGCCTCCCTGTGATTTATGACTGGTGATTTCATTTGCCTGCACAACGGGTAGCTGGCATTTCCCCTCCTCTTCCTCTTCTCCTCCTCCTCTTTCTTCCACTTTCCTCGTCCTCCTTTCCTTTTCCCTCCTTCTCCTCTGCTTCTTCC